TGCATGGGAAAATTATGTAGTGCACAGTTCTTTTTTCATTTCCACTCAGAGAAATGAGATGGCTTTACTGGTAAGGCTGACATTGGCCTCCTGTTTCTCAACCCCACTTCCCTCGAGTTAGAGGATCTGTACTCACAAGACTCCAACACCCAAGGTGGGAAGTCGGCGTGTGACCAAGTGGCCTCTACTCAGCCGCCTCCCCACCCTCCTACGCATGTGAAGTCCGACTTACCACAGAAACTTGCAACCCTCCTACATGCAGAGTATTCATGTCATTCATCAAAACTACATAAATTTTGATGAAAATTAATGTACATATGCCTAAATTGTCATATGGCTTTAAATAAAACAACCTAGCTGATAAGCCTAAATATAGCTTTAATTTTTGTAGAAAACAGAAACTGCTGACCAACACAGGTTCTCAAAAAGGCTCTATGCACAGGATTCTGGAGCGCCTCCCACTCCCACTCCACCCGGAGCGCAGTGGAGTACCACCGAAGGAAGGCTGGACTGAGAATCGGAGGGACGTAGCTCTGGCCTCTGCTTTTTTAAACGTCAGTTTCCTTCTCTTTCACAGGCTACCTACAGGAGCCCGTGGTGACCTTGCACATTATTTGTACTTCAGGTTCTATCTGCTTCTGCTGTTTTGCTTAGTCACTGCACTGCCTAAAGGTTCTTATATCTCGAAGGTGCCTAACGTGTTTCTGATCCTCCCTCCAGGTGGAGGATGGACAGGAATGCAGAGGTGTCAGTTGAAGAGGATGTAAACCCAGTTGCTCCAGCCCCTGCCCAGGCATCAGGACCTGTGGAGGAAGGGCCTCTCCCAGATCTGGGGGCTGGGAATAGACCTGCTGTGGTTGTGCAAAGGCAGTGAGGCACAGAGCCCAAAAGTTATTGTATATTCATGTTTGCCTGTGAGTTTGGGCCTTTTAAAATTTTTTGCCTTCAACTTTTACTCATTCAGCAAACACTAAGTTCCCACTGTGTGTAGCAGGAGAGGCTCAACGAATGTTAGATGAAGAGAAAATACTCAGAACTTCAGAAGTCACCCCAGCACTCTAAAAAAACATATATAAATCTTTACCCCTCCCCTTCTCCATTCTTGGCCTGACCTCTGCTCACATATCAGGCTATGAAAAGCTCTCATGCACAAGTCTTGAAGCGCAGTATGGCATGGTCTTTGCTTAATTCAAATGTCCTTTCCAGCAGGAGGTACAGGTCTTCAGCCTGAAACTGCCTCCCTGGGCCTTCGGCTTCATGTGAGGCCAAGCCACGGTGACGGTGCCTGCTTGAGGACACAAGACCTCCAAGTCCAGTGATGCCAGAATTGGACTGCCAGATTCCCTAACTGGTCCAGAGGATTCAGGATATCACAGAGGTTCTTTGCCATGTCTAGGAGCAAGGGAGGATGCTTTTTCAAAAAATTGGAATAAGAACAGGAGAAAAAATTGGAGCCGTTCTGTTTCCTTATCAGCCACGCTGTACCCCAGAGGATCCTGGGATGGTGACTTCTCCCTCTTTGCCCTGTCTATCTGCAGGGAGAGTTTGTACAGCCACGCTGTACCCCAGAGGATCCTGGGATGGTGACTTCTCCCTCTTCGCCCTGTCTATCTGCAGGGAGAGTTTGTACAGGTCCTTGACCGGGCTCAGCAGGAGAGAGTAGTCATAATGGTGTGTGGCTCACCTGAGCCATTTCTTTTTATTAATGCCAGAGGTGAGCCCTACACTCCTCTAGAGAACAGTGTCAGAGATGCAATGAACCATATGGCTCAGGGTGGCAAATGTCAGGCATAAGTGGGGAACCAGATCTGTGGCATAAATGTTCTACTGAGTGGCCTGTATGGTGTGAACCACATTTCCTAGTCTGAACCATTTATGACCAGTGCTCACACTAGACTCCAGTTTCTTCAGCTTCATTGCCCTCTTCTCTTTGTCAGCTTTAGGCTCTAACAAATATCTAAGCAACATGTATGTGTATTGAGTGGCTCTGATGAGCCAGCTCCAGCCCCGGGTCTGCCTGGTGAAGTGGATGAAGGCCCTGGTGGTGCCCAGACCATGACCAAGTGTTGCTTTGGGCTCAGCTGAGAGTCCTCACAGGCATAGCTGGTCCCACAGGAAGGTCACCTGAGGCCACCTGTACTCACATTGTTTTTTTAAAATGGATTTTATTTATTTATATTCAGAGAGAGGGGAAGGAAGGGAGAGTGGGAAGGAAACATCCATCAGTTGCCTCTTGCACACCCCCAATTGAGGACCTGGCCTGCAACCCAGGCATGGGCACTGACTGGAAATTAAACAGGTGACTTTTTGGTTCACAGGCCAGTGCTCAAGTCACTGAACCACACCAGCCGGGGCTGTCCTCTGTACTCAGATTCTTAAACAATCTGTTTAGGAGAGTACTTCTATAGTTCTTGTACTTGTCTTGTTTTAAAATCCCCACCAGTGCCACAGTTCGGTTATTTTCAGTTTTGTTGTTGAATTGTAAGAATTCTTTATATATTCTGGATACTTATCTTTCTGAATATGTTATCTACTACCTTCTGATCTCCATTGTTTCTGATCTGAAGCTATTGATAATTTTCAGGACCCCTTGTATAATCACTTTTGTCATTTTGAAGATTCTTTTTTAGTCTGTCTTTCAACAGTTTAACTGTGAAGTATCTAGATATTAATTTCTTTGAGTTTATTGTCCTTGAAAGTCATTGGGCTTCTTAAGTGTGTTGATTAGCTTTTTAAATTTTTATTTTTTTTAGAGAAGTTTTAAGTTTACAGAAAAATTGCACAGAAGTTATAGCGTTCCCATATACCCCATCACACATTTGATGAAACAATATTGATATATTATCATTAATTAATTATAGTTAAGAGGGGTCATTCTTTATGTGCTACAGCCCTGGGTTTTGACAAATAATAAACATCATGTAGCTACCATTATAGCGTCATATAAAATAGTTTTACTGCCCTAAAAAGAGCCGTGTTTTCTACCTATTCCTTTGTCCCTTGCTTTCCTCAAACCTCTGGCACACATTGATCTTTTTATTGTCTCTGCAGTTTTTCCTTTTCCATAATATCATATAGTTGGAATCGTACAGTATGTAGGTTTTTCAAGTTAAGTTTCCTCCATGTCTAAAAGACTTGGTTTGGTAGTGCATTTCTTTTTTTATCATTGAGTAATATTCCATATTACGAATATACCAGTTTGTTTTTCCATTCACCTACTGAAGGACATCTTGATTTCTTCCAATTTTTGGCCATTATGCGTAAGCTTCCATAAACATTCACATGCACGTTTTTGTGTGGACATATGTTTTCAATTTGGGTAAACACCTAGGAACATGATTGCTAGGTTGAATGGTTAGCATATGTTTAGATTTGTAAGAAACCGCCAAACTGTCTGCCAAAGTGATTATACCATTTTGCATACTTGGAGCTTACTGAATGTTTTGGATGTGCAGATTAATTTTTTAAAATCAAATCTGGGAAGATTTCAGCCCTTATTTAAGTACTTTTCTGCCCCACCATGCTGTGTGTGAGCCCTCTCCACCATCCATCTCTGCCACAACCCTCTCTTTTGGCTATCCCCATTATGCATTTATTGATATGTTAACCCTGTGGAGGTCATGGCCAATCTGAGAGATACAGACAAAGTCTTTTCTTAAATACTGTTACATATATTGAGTGCATAAGTTTAAGGTCATGACTAGCTTGGATGTTATTGCTTAACCCATGCACTTGATACATGTTAAAATATTTAAGAAAAGACTTTGTATCTCTCAGATCAGCTGCAACTTTTGTTCAGTTAATGGTATCTCATAGGTCTTTGAGGCTTTGCTCATTTTTCTTAAATATTTTTTCTTTTTTTTTTTTTTGTTCTTCTCACTGAGTACTGTGACTCAGTCCTTCCTCAGTTCCACTTGTGTTTTTCTTTTGTCAGTTCAAACCCACTCTTGAGCCCCTCTGGTCAGTTTTTTTCAATTCAGTCATTGCACTCGCAATTCCAGATTTCTGTTGTTCTTTTTTATAATTTCTACCTCTTTGTTGAAAATTTCGATTTGGCCAAATATTATTCTCATACTTTCTTTTCGTTTTTTTAGTTCTTTGAACGTATTTATAGTAGCTGACTTAAAGTGTTTCATCTGTCAGATGCTGGGCTTCCTTGGGACCGTTTTTATTGACTGCTTTTTTTCCCCTGTATTTGGGCCAGAGTTTCATACTTCTTTTTGTGCCTTGTAATTTTTTTGTTGTTGTTGTCGAAAGTACACATTTTATAATGTGGCAACTCTGAAAATCACACCTCTCCCCCTGTTCTACCAAAGGCTTATTGTTGTTGCTGCCTGTTCGTCTATTGACTTCCCTGAGTTAATTTTCTAAACTATATTCTTTGCTGTGTGAGGTCACTTAAGTCTTGGTCCCTTAATGACTAGACAGAAATTTCTTCAAATTCCTCGAGCCAGTAAGGAGCAGAAATTGCTCGAAGGCATAATTTTCTTTAGGAACCTGATGTTTTAATGGTTGAGATGGTTAAGTATTTAGCCAAAAGTTCCCTGTGTTTGCTTTCTAGTAGAGGTTTGGAGTGGGGTGGTGGACTAGACAGTTAGAAGAAGATGCGATAAGCAGCTACTTCTTTTGCAGGGTTGTCTTTAATGAGCCAGTGAGCATGGGCATCTCCACTGTGGGAATAAGATATAGTAGACTCTGCAATCACTGGACCATGAAACCAGTCCTTGGCACGCACTTTGGGACAGGCTACTAGAGTTTTCTTTGAAAGATGTTGAACTAAATTGCAGGGAGCCTTCAGACCTTTAGCCATCCATAAACGTAGCATTAGAAAAATAAGTAAGACTGCAGAGAAGGAAATGTTAAAAGAGAGAATTAATCAGCCACAATTTTGAGGGGGGAAAAGTGCATACGTAGGATTAGTTCATCAGCATGCTTTCTGAGTGTGTGTATATTTACGTGGGCGTTACATCCCTTCATACTTTTCCCTTTTCATTTCACAGATTTTTTTGAAAGCCTCATGGGACATAACACCACGGCTGGATGCCTGGGGAAATTAGGAGACCTGACGGCGTGAGAGCCACTCTGCCAGGGGCGCAGGATGTCACCTGGAATCGAGTAACCAAACAAGCCAGATGTTCCTTAACTTTAAATGGCAAAAAAAAAAAAATTAGGTACTTTTTGTCACATTATACTAATAATCATCAACTATTTATTTTTATTTGTATAAATATTCACAATTCACTTCCTAATCAAATATTTAAAAGTTCTAGTGGTAATTCTTATGTTAAAATATGCTTTAAATCTTATAAATCTGGTATAGAGACAATTGATGGTATTTGGCTTTCTTTGTTAGAACAGTAGCACTTCTTAGTTATGGAACAAATTGCCAGATTATAAGATTGATTTTTGAAAATAAAACAAGATCTGACTATTTGTAAACATGTTATGTAATAAAAGTAAATTGGGTTCCTGGAATTTGAATAGAGACATAAATTCTGTCATAAATTACAATTTATACACAAACGTCGTTTTTTCCACATGTCTTAATTATTATAACCTGTTATAACCAATGTGAGAAATGCAAGGAAGGCTGGGCGGGTCATTTCTTCCTGTGATGCCTGGTGTGGAGCTGAACTACGTGAGGCCAACCCCAAACAGTCCCAGATCTGGCCTGTTTTCAGCCATTGCCCTTCCGGTTCAGTTTGAGAATTCCATTGACTAGCCCTTCCTTCAACAGCCGCTTTTCCTTCAAAGATTCTTAGCATCATCTCATACACCAAAGATTGTAGGTTTGATTGGAGCATCAGCTCATACACCAAAAGATCATAGGTTTGATTCCTGGTCAGGGCACATACCTAAGTTGCGGGTTTGATCATCGGTTGGGGTGTGTATGGAAGGCAAGCTGATCCATGTTTCTCTCTCGTATCGATGTTTCTCTCTCTCTCTCTCTCTCTTACTCTCTCTCTCTAAAATCTATAAACATATCCTCAGGCGAGGATTTAAAAAATAAACAAATAAAGATTCTTAGACGTGACAGCCATTTCTGAACATCTCCCTAAGTGCATCCCAATCTTAAATTGGTGAACAGCCAAATAAATCTGATCTCTTCAAATATTTGGGGCTGTTGATGTCAACCGATGGGCAGTTGTGGATCTGCCAGGAGGAACCCAGCGGGGTAATGATTCCAGGTGAGTGGTGCTAATTAGAACTGGCCCGGTGTCAACACCCACCATAGAGAGTTCGCTGACCATAGCCTGGTCTGCAACTCTGTTTCTGCACCTCCATATACCTGAGAGGTAAGAGGTTTATTGTAGGGTACTCTAGCATATCCTTATACTTGAGGGGTTTTTTGTTGTTGTTTTTGGTTTTAAACCATTTGCCATTAATACTAGAGATTGGAACTCTGTAACACTACCCCTCTTCCTCTGTTTGACACACTTTGTTTTTCTTTTAAAAACCTGACCTCATAGTAACAAGGACAGTTTTGAGCCTGAGAAGATGTCATGGAAACTGTATTTATAGGCATCCTTTCTGTGTTTCTTTTAGTGCACGTCTGCATGTAAAGATGCCATTGCCCTTCTGATGAATGCAAACTGACAGCTTGCAAGGCCAGGACAGAAGCAACATCTTTGCTGCGGGAAGCGTGGAAGACTGCCCTTAAAAAAGGAGAGTCCCCAGTTGTTTGAAATGCTGAAGAAGTTGCTGAGAAGGAGACTTTTTTCTTATCCCACCAAATACTACTTCTTGTTTCTTGTTTTTTCTCTGGTCACCTTCTCTGTTTTAAGAATTTATCAAAAGCCCGAGTTTGTGAGCATCGAACATTTGGGTCTGGTCGGAGACAATCCCGGTAGTAATATTAATTGCACCAAGGTTTTACTGGGTGATGTAGATGAAATTGAAAAGGTGAAGCTTGAGATTCTAACTGTGAAGTTTAGAAACCGCCCTCAGTGGACAACTCATGACTATATAAACATGACTAGCGATTGTACATCTTTCATCAAGAGGCGCAAATATATTGTAGAACCTCTTAGTAAAGAAGAAGCAGAGTTTCCAATAGCATATTCCATAGTGGTTCATCACAAAATCGAAATGCTTGACAGGCTCCTGAGGGCCATCTACATGCCTCAGAATTTCTATTGCATTCACGTGGACAGAAAATCGGAGGATTCCTTTTTGGCAGCAGTGATTGGTATCGCGTCCTGTTTCAGTAATGTCTTCGTGGCCAGTCGGCTGGAGACCGTGGTGTATGCGTCATGGAGTCGGGTTCAGGCCGACCTCAACTGTATGCAGGACCTCTACGGGATGAGTGCAGACTGGAAGTACTTGATAAATCTCTGTGGTATGGATTTTCCAATTAAAACCAACCTGGAAATTGTTAGGAAACTCAAGTCGCTCATGGGAGAAAACAACCTAGAGACAGAGAAAATGCCACCCCATAAAAAAGAAAGGTGGAAAAAACATTATACGGTCATTAATGGAAAGCTGACAAATACAGGGACTGACAAAACGCACCCTCCTCTGGAAACACCTCTGTTTTCGGGCAGCGCCTACTTTGTGGTCAGTAGGAAGTATGTGGAGTACGTGCTAGAGAATGAACAAATCCGAAAGTTTATGGAGTGGGCAAAAGACACATACAGCCCAGATGAGTATCTCTGGGCCACTCTTCAGAGGATCCCTGAAGTTCCAGGCTCACTGCCCTTAAGCCATAAGTACGACATGTCCGACATGCAGGCGATTGCTAGGTTTGTCAAGTGGCAGTACTTTGAAGGCGACGTTTCCAAGGGCGCCCCTTATCCACCCTGCCACGGTGTCCATGTGCGCTCCGTGTGTGTCTTCGGAGCAGGTGACTTGAACTGGATACTGCGCACCCACCACTTGTTTGCCAATAAGTTTGATGTGGACATTGACCTCTTTGCCATTCAGTGTTTAGATGAGCATCTAAGGCATAAAGCCCTGGAGACGTTGAAACACTGACCATTGGTTGCCTGCAATTTTAGAAATAGAGTGCTGCCTGAGATGTATCCCATCTGAGTCCTCTGCCCTGTTAATAAACATCGGAAATGCTGTAGGGGGTGCTCTTTGGAGCGGGGCCTCCAGCTCTTCATCTCAGAGGAGCTCTGTGTCTCTGCAGAGCACAGTTGCTTAGAAAGCTTACAGCACTAGGTGCTGACTTAGAGTTAACGCCAGGCCAGGGGCAGGTTGGGAGGCTTTGTGGGGAGAGGTGGCCCTGGTGGCCAGATGCAAAAACCAGCCTGTTACAGAGCTCAGGGACTTAACAAAATGATATGATTCAACCTGTGCCAAAATTACTTTGAGAGCTTTAAATATGACAGTTTTCTTGATTTGAATAAATTTATAGCAAAACCCAATCATAAGGATATAATTTATATTGTAGGTTCTATGGTTGAATTAGAAGTCTGACTTTACTGTAAATGATTCTTGTGAATATAGTTGACTTTCTGCTGCAACATCATGCTGTGTGTTGTATCTGTGGGTCATCTCAGGGAACTTGAAAACATGGGCTTGACCAGATACAAATACTTCTGAGTAATTTTTGTTTCTACCAATGTGCACATGTTTCTAAAAACAAAAAAATGGTGATTTGTAGTTTAGTTGATTCTGTGAATCATCTTCAATGACTAGAAATGCCTTAGGTTATTAAATGAGTTAAGATATGTTTGTTTATTATTAAAGTTTCTACAGAGTAACACTCAATTTTATAAATATTTGTCTGTCTCCCACCATCTCCCAGACCCTGCTGTCACACCGTATAAAAACTGGTTTTGTAGTGCCCCACAGGACTGCCTCAGTTCTGTTGTATGATGTGGTGGACAGTAATTTGTGTAGGGAACTGACAGAAACGGTGAAGTGCGGGCATGGAGTGGGGAGGAGGAGGAGTCAGATTCAGACCCCATCTGAGGCCTGCGATGAGTGTTACAAACCACCCATTGCCACCATCCACAGAAATTGAGGCTGGTGCTCTTTGCCTGTGTCCAACCTCCCAGTGCCTTGCATCTTAGTGTGGCTGGTGTCCATTTCACTGGCTTCCCTTGACCTTGCTTCTTCGTGTTACCTGCCTATTGGCTGCTCCTTAGCCCTTGGGTTTTAAGTGTCCTTCTCTCTCAGAACCAACGCAGGAGAAAGAGGTGTTCTGTTGTTCTACATGCTGCGTTTCAAAGCCTGAGAATCCGAAAGGAACCATTAGGTCTGGGGTAGATTATTTTAGTATTGGTATTATTCACAGCATATGACTTTTACTCTACTTTTTCACCAAAAGACTGGATAATTTGAGGTTGCTGTTATGCTTGCTCTTTGGCTAAGCTGATACTGTTCAGCCAAAGCTCTAACAGGAAATGTGAAATTTTATCGTTTAGCTAAGGCTTTAAACAAGAGTCAAAACCAGGTACTTTATTCTTAAAGGAAAAGCAACTTCACTAGTACATGAGAAATTCATAATGTCAGACAGTTTCCAAGCCTTCAACTGAGAAAATAATTTTATTCCTCAAAGTTAGGAAACATTTTTATTTTATGGAGAAGTGTGTTATATTGACCCTCCAGAACGAAAGTTTCATAGTTTTCCGTAAAGCTTTGTCGTTTGTAAACATGAAAGTCAGTGGGTTGCTGTGTTTTGCATGATTGGATACGGTAGCTTTGAAAACTCACGTGAGGACATCAGTGGGGGCGTTCCGTACCGTGTTCTGTCTCTTCCCGTCTAATGCAGCCGGTTCTTCGAAGGGGCATCAAAGGTCTCGTCCTTTCTCGAGTGGCAGGAAGATTTTACCTTTGGGGCCGTTTAGGCGTTTTCTTTGTAACTGTAAAACCAGTGATATCCAGTGACACACACTTTGTGTCTTCGTCTTGTAGTTGTGCTTCATTCATGATGTCCTGTTTTATGGATTTTTTTCATGTTTATTTCAAAAATTCACAAATTAATAGGAAAGTTAAAAGCAATACTACAGAGGACACCATATAACCCTTGCCTGGAGTCCTGCTTTTTAACATCATGCCCCTTTTGCTTTAAATATTATTATTTTTAATATAGCAAAATTGAAACGTTTTTTAAATTTACAAATACCCGAAGTTTTATATCTCAGAACTCTTATTATTATAGTATGATTGTGTCTGATTTACATGTGAATTGGCAGCTTTTGAGGGATTTTCCTCCACCCCAGACATAAAACTAGGACTTTTGGGTCTGTTTCACTAACCCCACACTGGAACTGTGGACTCCCCGTCTTTTATGTCACCGTGGAACCTCATCTGTCTAGAATGGTACCTGTTGAGTTGTGTCTGAACATTAGCCCGCTGCTAGTGACTACTAAAGGCATTACATAGAATTTGTTTATTAGGGCTCTTACTTTTAGACCTTTCAGGGTAACCTAAAAAAGCAAGTGAAATATATATTCCCAGGACAAGCGATTTGAAGAGTCAAAAAAATTGGTTCCAAAAGGAAGCCCATACTATATTCAGAAGGTGCAAAACATGGGTACTTTGGGAAAGATAAAGAAATTATTTAAATAGTTTTCATGTGTCAGTTATTAAACACTAATTTTTTCTTGCTCTCATTTAAGATCTTTTGTAGGTAATGATTAAAAATCATGCACAAATAAATCCTTAAACATATATAAACTGCTGTTTTGTGTAATGGAAAGATTATTCTAGTTAATGAAGTACTGCAAAAAGATTTACTATTACTTATTATGGACAACTTAACAAAAGTGTTTCTACTATAGGCAGTGACCTAGGTTCCTCCGAGACCACGGGAAACAGCCGCTTGACCGTGTGCATGTGAAGCATCATTGGTCTCTAAACATGTATTGCTGTCATTTATCAAGAATAATTCACTTAAGTAAAATAACATAAATGGGTTTTCTTTTGTAGTTACTTGAGGAGAGGAAAGCCATGCTTTTAGTTTATGGTATTTGTGGGATCAATTGAACTAGAGTTTCCAGTTGCTTGGGAAAATAAAAATCATTTCTCGTTTTATTAATTAACTATAAAATAAAGCTAACACTGTTTTATGGTAAGTGTGGTTATTCTTAAGTTTTACTTTTTTTTTTTAAAGACCTTATTTATTTTTAGAGAGAAGGGAAGGAAGGGAGGAAAAAGGAGAGAAACATCAATCAGTTGCCTCTTGCACATCCCCAACTGGGGACTTGGCCCACAGCCCAGGCATGTGTCCTGATGTGGAATTGAACCAGCAACCTTTTGGTTTGTAGGCCAGCACTCAATCCACTGAGCCACACCAGCCAAGCACATTTTACTCTTTTGAATGTGAACATGACTGAATGCATTTGGAACTTGTCATATACCACCATTAAAAGCAAACTAAAAGGACAGCTGGATCAGGAGTGGAAACATAGAAATGAAGACCTCAAGGAGGGTTAGCAACAGGGGAGTGGGAGGAGGAGAAGGGGGGAGAAGGTACAGAAAATAAGTAGCATAGACAGTAGATAGAAAATAGATGGGGGGGCAAGAATAGTATGGGAAATATAGAATCTAAAGAACTTGAGACACATGGTCATAAACTAAAGGGGGGGTAATGGTGGGGATGGGGGGGTAGGGTGGAGGGGAATGAAGGGGGGAACAGAACAACTGTAATGGCATAATCAATAAAAAAATAAATTAAAAAAAAAACAGCTATTCCAAAACCAATGCCTTCTATCCACAAATCATTCTTTCTTTTTTGCTAGCTACCAGCCCTCAAATATTAAATTTAGCAGTTGATGTAGTGTTGTGTGCGAGTACTGATTAAAAGAATAACATTAATTCTCAGAAATGTCGGATAGGAAGAGGATGTGGCAAGGGCAGATTATTCAAAAAGACTTAGACAAGGGGTGTGATTTAGGAGAAAGCAGTTTAATGACAGCCAGTGGTGCGTTCTAGGACATTAGTAGCTTTAGTTTGTTGAGGGAGGAGAGCAGTTTTCTGGGTCAGGGTTTCTACTCCAATACTAAGAGGATCTGCTACTTGCAGTTTACTCCTAGAGGGTGCAGCTGACGGAAGCCCCCCACCCCCACCCCCAAATACTGAGTGCATTCTCCAAAGTCCTCTCACCTCACTTGCTAAAGCCCTTCGTTAGCCTCATTTTAGACAAAACAGACTAGAAAGTAGCAATATTGATCTCAGATCTTAAAAGCTTAAGAACTTTACATATCCTTCATAAGGCTGCTTGTCAAAGAATCTTTATATGTGTTATCAAAGTTTTCACAGCTTGTCAGAATTCCGATGTACTATTTTTTGATGCAATAAGACCCAACCAAGATGAGTTACAACTATTGGAAAAAACTATTTTCATCACTGTAGATGATACGATTGTCCAAGTAAAAAGCTCAGGAATCTTGTCTTAGATTTAATATGAAATTAGCAAATACCTGTAGATATACAAAAATTAAGTTTTTCCACATTTAAGGAAAAAGTAGTTTGAAGATATAATGGAAATGTGTACTCTTTCATCATGGCAACAAGCTCTGTAAAATGTATTGAGGCCCAAGGCAGGCTACCCCCAAATATCTCCCAATGGCATATTGATTACCTGGAATTAAATTTACTTGACAAGCAGTGGTGCCAGAATGGCACTTTGACCCCCTCTTACCACCTGGAACACAGGAACTAAACCTATGTGAAAGGTTTCCTCTCTGCATCTGGAAGGCCCGACGCCACGCCCCTCCTTCCAGGGTCTTAACTCGGAGCTGAAAAGTCTATATAATCAAATGATTATAGATACAAACAAGCTATTAACCCTATAATAGACTCCCTCTTAAAACAGGGTATATTGATTTTACCTGCAACAGTCCAGTCTGGCCAGTAAAGAAAGGAGGCAAATTTGATTCAGATGGAAATAAAATTTATTGACCCAGGAGCCATAAACTCTTATAATTCCTTGGCATCTCAACAGTCCCCAAACCAGCTACTGTTCCTGCTAATGCAGCCTGGTTTACAGTAGTTGACCTCTGCTCAGCTTTATTTTCAATCCCTTTGCAACCAGCTCAGAATTTCTTTTTGTATTTACGCTTAAAGGGAGGCAACGGACTCAGACTTGCATTCCTAGGCAAATCACAGGTAGATGAGAAAGAGTAAACATTTGGTAAACATTCTTGCCAGGCCACCAAGGAGCAATGGAGGAGGCTCTAACGAACATGTTTCTAGGTTACATTTGATCTCCCTTTAAGCAGGTGTTTCTATCTGAATTCCCTTAGGCAGGTAAAGGGGAGGATCAAAGTTTCCTTCTGAGTCTTTTGTTTCTTAAAAGTAGCCAGCTGAAAATAATATCTCACAAAGGCATTTTTAGGGTGGCAACACTCTGCTTCCTCTCACCGTGCAAATATAGAAATAGTCTCAGCCATGAGAGGATCTTTTAGACACCTCTTTTGGCAACCCAGACTTACATTTTTATGTTGTGATGCTTTCCTATAAATGGAATTTCTGGAGAGACATAACTGGCTATGCCATAATTTCCCCACATGCCACGCTGGAAGCATTCTCTCTGCCTATGATAAAAATCAGCCCAAGTGACTAAACCCACAGCTCTTGCACGTCAGCAAAAGGCCAAACTGTTACTGTGTACGCAGACTCCAAGCAGGCCTTCGGAGTCTGTCCCGCTCTGGGTACAACCTGGAAATCCTGTGGATTCTTAACTTCTGCACATACTCCTATAGTTAATGGGCATGTAATTGTCCTGTTACAAGCTAATCACCTCCTTTCTGAAAGTGCTATTGTTCACTGTTCAGCCCATACTTAAGAAAATGGTATCTAGGAAATGACAGAGGTGACAAAACTGAAAAATATGAAATACACAGCTCAAAATAGACCCCCTGATCCTTTCTCTCCCCATTTTCAAATCTACCTTTATCCCTCACTGATATTATTACTGACCAGGCAAATATTTAGCACTCTGGAAAAGATGAATGGATACAAATGAGTGCCGGACAGTTATTAGACAGATGACACATGGGGCCTAACAGATTCCTTAGCTCCTTTTCTTTTGACTTGTTGACTTGGACTTATCCCACCATGTGGGACATAGGCAGATGGGGGATAAGTAAGGAACTAAAAGACAGCTGGTTTTGCCCTGGCATCTGTTAAGCTTCTGATCAAATTATTTCCCATTACACTAATAAACCTCGCCAAACTTCTGGAAGCAATCAATGTATTTCAGGAAATCTTTCTAAACCCACAATGCACTTTGCAGTCCTGCAAGTGGGTTTTATAGACTTGCCCCCAGTTTTAGGCTATTCTCACAGTTTGGTTATGTCTGTGTTTAGTGGGTGAACCAAATGCTCTCCAGCTAAGTATGCCAATGCCACTATAGTTGTAAAGAAATTATTGAGGTGATTCCGCATTTTGGCACTGCTTTATGGTTTCAATTAGACCAAGGAACTGATTTTACAGCACAGATAAATCACCTGCTTGCAAAAACTCTGGAGTGCACATTGAAATTTCATACTCCATGCCATTCGCAATAATTAGTGCAAGGTACCATAAAATGTAGACATAAAAAGGACTTCAGGAAAGACCTGTCAAGAAACCAGACCTTAATGGGCAGAAGCTTTGCCCTTGACCCTTATAAAGATTTGAAATATTCCAGCTAGAAAACATGATTGACCTCTTTTGAAATACTGTTTGGATACCCTATGTCTTCTGTTCCTGACTACAGGAATATTACATGAACTTAAATGAAGAATTTAATGCTGCAACTAGCTGTGTACAAGAACTAGTACACCTGAAGCATGTCACTAACGGGTAAGAGGCATGGCCTCCACCAACTGACAAGGCTTACCATCCATTTTCACCAAGAGATTAGATGTACATCAAAGTATTTTTAAAAAGCACATGTTCAGCTCACCTGGAAGGAACTTATGAGGTAATGCTAACCACCTACAGTGCTATTTTAAAAATGCTCCTGGATTTACGTAAGCCACACCAAAACAGACCCAGGCCACTGCTCAAGACAACTGGGAAGCAATCACCCCAGGGGACCTTACGCTAAGGGTTTCCAGGGCCAGCTCCCAGGCCCAGAAGCACAGGGCACCGTGACCGCGTTTCCCAAGACCGCAGGTTAAGAAACTGCTTTTACCTGTTCCCCCTCTTTAACATACCCAAACAACCAAACAAAAAATCCTTTCTCCTAAGAAAAAAACAAAACCAGAAAACCTCCTCTTCCCACAGTTATTAATTATTTGTCAGGAGGCTGTCCGGAGGGTGCTTGTCTCTGCCATCCTACTTCCTCCAAGTCGTCACCATGGGTTCTCCTCCAACCTGCGTCCTGATCTCAGTGACACTCGTTTTTTTCCCCAGTAGGTTTGGCACAGATCAAACACCCCCTCGTGCCAGTTTACTAAACACTGGCCACCTTAACTAATCAATCTGATTGCCAGTTGTGTCAACATCTCAATAGTACAAATAAACCTGAACTAGTTAGTCTTCATTCCTGCTCATAAGGACATCTGAACCAAGGACTAACACACAAGAACTAACATACAAGGACTAACATATAAGAACAAGATATAACCACAACGAGACAAATGTCATTCTGCCTCCTCTTCTTGTGACTCATTTGGGCCTATGGAAAACTGGAGAAATCAAGGAATGTCGCTTACACAGATAAAGTCTGTAGGTAAAAAAATTTCCCTTTGTTGAAAGCAAACACAATACTGGGCTTTTCCTAGGTGATATACCAGGATGATATTGCAAACTCTGTGGTTTGATTCCCCAGGTGGCATTTTCAGACCTGCCAAGGAGGTCATAAGTGACTCACTCTGGCACTAGCTTTTTCAGTCTAGACTCCTGCCAAGTCACCAAATGTTTTGGATGGCTTGGAAGTTTCCTTTGTGTAACTTGGAGGTATTGCAGCTGCTCCCCTGATTAACCCGCTTGGCACTGCATATCATACATGGGTGGACAAAGATCTGGACATACTTGGCCAGCTAACAGAACCTAGCTTTAGTGCTGCCAAAACCAGATTACAGTCCTTCTATACCAGCTTCACAATCTGTTCTGCTCTCTCAGATTGACAGGAACATGTGGAGAATGGAGACATATGGATACAGACACACATCGTGAAATAACTCTGGGAATTACAGACTCCACTTGAATCTTGTCTGTAAGCCACACGGGTCTTTTTATTTTATGTGGCAATCAGGTATATGCAGGGTTTGCACCTAAAATGTGGGAAGATATAGATTCAGATACCTGGCTCCTTCTGTTGCTAAAATACTCTACCCTAAATGTCAGCCAAATTAAAAAGCTGGGCTCCTTTGTTTATAAAGTTGTAAAACATAAATGTACTTAGTCAAGAAATCATAGAAAATCCACTGGTATATCACGACTCCAAGTTCTTTTCAGTTTGAGGGCCTTATTGCCTAGCTCTGGGGTTTATGACTGGGAAAAAGCAAGCTTAGATCTCTCCATGGT